CTGCAGCGGCAACGTAATCGCCTCCATCCTTGACTGCTGTTTACTGCTTTGCAAGACGGGTATGTTCAATATCTGCAGCACAAACAAGGCTACGGCTCTCAAATTATGACTTGCACTTCCGCAAAGCATCAAGGTAAGTCTTGGAGATAGACTTGATGGCATTGGCCCAGCCAGTCTGCACAGCTTGCACGTCCGCCTCCGTAACGGCAGATGAGGCAGGGCTGAACGGCATTGACGAATGGTGCAGGAAGATTCGTACTCGTCCATCGGAATTTTTCTGGTACCCAAACGTGTACTCGACCTTGGTCTTGCTGCCATCCGCTGTGCTCGTGAAATAGTAGTTTCCCATTGCAATGGCGACGTTGCCTTTCAAGTTGATCTGGTGGTTGTCGAACACAACCTCCGACCAGCCTTTGCCACCATTGATTGCGAAACCTCCGTCTTCCGGAATACCGTCTTCCACTGCATTGCAGCCGACGAAGTACGACAAAGCTTGGGATGCCATCGGGCGGAACTGGCAGTCTTTGGCCTTGGTTGGCTTGAAGAGCACATTCGTGTATCCGTAGCCATAGAGCTCACCCGCGGCCTCACCAGCAGCAGCTATATAGTCGCCTCCATCCAGAAAGATTTTCGAGATTCGCGTAATTGCCCTCGACCAGTCCGCTTGGGCCTTGCGCACTTCGGCCTCCGAGACTTTGTTGTCCGAGGAAGACATTGCGTGGGAGATCGAGGATATCAGACAAGGAGGAAGCACGAGCCACTGAAACTGCTCAAGCAGACGAGTCCATGCATGCTTGGCTGCCTTCCGTACACACAAGACCGAATACGTGTATTTACCTGATCCTACGACTCCGGCATAACAGTCCATACACACATGCAAGCAGAACCGCGTGTGTTCTTTCTTTTCTACCTTGGTACATGTTCTAAGTACAGGCGGAAGCAACACTTGTTGAATGGACAACAGACAAGCTCAAGCTAAAGACGGCAAGCGTTTATTCACATTGGACATGCTCCGTCGATCTCGACATGTGGAAATTGCGGCTCTTTTTGCAAGCTCCCACTCGGCGAGGAGATTCGTCCAAAGACATCTTGGCAAAGATGTCGGAAATGACTTCGCGTCTTGCAGCGAGATGAGCCGCCACATATCATTTCACTTCCCTCTGAATTCGAAGTGATGGCAATGCGACCAGTGGCAATGAAGTGTGAAGCCAACCCTTTCTCTTGCCACCACTTCTAAAGGCGAGCATCCCGTTAGGAGTGCCACAGGCCAATGGGCCCGGGGCCTTGTGGCCTCCCCACGGATAAAACCAGACACCTTCGTCCGTCAGTTCATCACATGCAGCCTTGATGCTTCACATTACATCCACCAAACGTATCATCCAACCTGGTGGCATGGATGCTAGCAATCACCACAGCAAAGTCTCTTGAGGCAAAGGCCAAGGCCTCCGCTTCTGCCAGGTCTGGTGGGGCTCCGTCGGCCGTGGAGGCAGGTGAAGTGCGATGAATACCTTTCTGGGCCTTCCGCACATCAGCAAAACTCTGCACGGCTCATTACGGGGACAGTGGCTGAATTGGCGGCATATCGGCTACACATTGCTGGAGAAGGACCGCGGATGGCATTTCTCAAGTATTAGTCAAGAGAGTTTGTAAGGATGACATATTGGATACGGAGAATTACAGAGGTATGCTCTGTCTTTCTTTCCAGCGTGATCAGAACATGGGAAACTGTTCGTGGCCTGAGCCACGCCGAAGAGCTCCAGTCCAAGCTGATTGTGCTGGCCAGACCTTCGGAGGCTTTGCGGAAGTGGAGCAGCAAGCCGCAGCAAGCTGCAACCGATGGGCTTCCATGCGTTGAACCCTTTCGATTTCAGGCTTGCGCCAGCGCATCGAGTTTGCCAATGCTTCTTCTGCTGCCAGCACCCGGCGAATGGTCTCTGCCTCCTGGGCCACTGCTTTCACACAGCATCCAGCAGACATCAGCACACCGTGACTGGGAGCAGGCCTCCTTCTCGCCGTACTCGCGCATGCTCGCCAACTCCTGCTCGTACCTCTCTCTGGCAATCCAGCTGGACCTTACAAGGCGCCCATGGCACATGCCGCCAGCATGGTGATGCATTCAAGCGGCTCTTCTGCTTCTAAAGCACGCCGTGCAGCAGCTTCCTCGGGGCACATCGGGCACTTGGGTGGCCTTCTTCGGCCTTTCCCACCGCTGTTTGAAATCCAGCTTAGTGACTGCACGGAGCTCGGCTGAATTGAAACGGTGGCCGGCATCCACGCTCCGTGCTTCCTTTCTGCAAAGACAGACACTCGCGAGGAAGAGGAGAAAAGGAGAGGGGAAGGCAAAAAGCTCCTGCTTCTGCTTAGCTTCCTCCTGCCCAGAGATCATCTTGGTCGGAAGCTTTCAAGACACACCCAAAGCGCGCCTGCAGCTCGTGAGCCGTCCTCTGCGCGATTGCCTCCCTGGCTTCGTAGCCATGCACGGCTGCACGGGCTGCAGCCCGCACCTAGGAGAGGGTCACTGCTCGCGAATCCCTTCAGGGACGACACAGAACTCGACGCGGGATGCAATTCACGCAAATTCGAGCCTCGTCTGCCGCGATGACAAGCTCTTGACATGTTTCCTCCTGCGACATCCCGATGCATTAATAGCGGGCGCTGACTAGGCGACCTGCATGTACTTGCTAAATCTTGCTAAAGCATGCTTTCCGCACTTTCGCCTCTGAGCATCGAGATTCCTCAAGCATCCGCGACTCCACCTTTCCATTGCTTTGCAAGGTAGATACAAAAGTCCGTACTCCCAGCCCATGCAGCAACTCATGTTCCGCTCCCAGAGCTGAAAGTGGCAAGTCTCGCCGCCCTTTTGCACGACAGCCGACTCGATATCCTGATCCGAATCACAGGCTCTTTACCGTGCCACAGTGTCGCCCAAGTTCGACAGACGTCATCCTCGCCACTTTCCTCGGACAGGAAAGCCCAAACTATCCCAAACTGGTGCTGCAAAGAAACATCAAGAAAGGTGCTGCAGAAGCCAAAACACTTGCGGTTGATCTGCACTGCAGAACCAAATCTGAAGCCGCGCTTTGGGAGGCACGTGCTCAAACCAAGCCTCCAAGGAGACTACCTTCCAGGGCGCTACTTGCAGCAACAACTGCACCAGCTGTGACATGCTGACGGGAGATCATGACTCCACGCAAGGCCTGCACATCCCTTCCTGATTTGTTCGTCAAGTCCTCCTGCACAGCTGATACCTTGCTCCAAAAACGAACTTGTCCCATTCACACGCTTACACACCTTGCATGCCAAGTTGTGCTGCGCAAGACACGGCGTCGATGAGGACTGGCCCAACGTCTGCGCAAAGACTTGGCGGTGGCAGAATGGTCATGGCCACAGGCTTGCCGATGGCTCCTGCATGCTTTCGTGACTCGCACCACCAAGCGGGAGCTGTAGGCTTCGCTCCTGCGATTTGCTCCATGTGTGCCTCAGGAGCTACGTGAAACTGCGAGTACACGGGGACATCGACGACTGCGCCGGCCTTCGACACAGACACGAACACAGCAAACACGGGACTCACATCACGGGTGATCTTTGTCGCCTCAGCTTCTGCTGCGCATACTGTTCGAGGCCGCTTGCTCGCTTCGGTCTGTCGTCGCTGCAATGCCTGCGCCGAATGAAAGAGAAGCTGCGGAACGCCCTCACAGCCATAGCCACGGCGCCTTCCATCGCAAACAGCCTGCATCTGCCTGAGCTGGTGAAAGCCTGGTTCTCATGCGTTCTTGTATGTTGACAAACGAGTCACTGCTGCAATCGTCAACAGGCAGTCAAAAGCGACTCAGCCGAACCACATCCAAATCCGCGTGGTCAAACAGTCGGTCTTGCACAGCTCAACTGTGACCAAATGTGCCTACGCCTCACATGACCGGGCAAGAGAGACAAGCTTAAGCTCGAGGGGTCCACGCTTATGTCAAGCAGCGGCAGGGGCGGGACAACAACCCCATCGAAAGGCGGCATCGTTTTTGCAGCCACCTCTGTGCAAAGTTGATCACCCGAGGACTGCGCAGAAGCAACTGTTACTCAAGGAAGCGACCCTGACATTGAAGCGGAACACAAGCATGTGCTGCCGAGTGGCACACCATGCTGTCCCTGTCGACATGATCTGACCGTCTTGGTGACAAACCAAGCTCAGCTCAAGCATACCTCAGCTAGACCAGTGCTGCTGCAGATTGCTGCAGGTGTGCTTCATACATCATGAGCTAATCAATCATCCGGCGGCGACGATCATGAACACCTGGACAGCCGGGACGCCAAACCAAAACATAAGCAACATCTGCTCTGCACATTGTCACACCCCACCCGTGAACCTTGCAATGCCGTCTGGATCACAAAGTCGGCAGAGTTGTCATTCTGTTCCACTTGAAGGCCTGCTGTAATTCTGGTTCTGGTTGATGCAGAAACTGCCTAACCATGTGCGACTGAAAGGTTGTGCAGCAGTCTACTGGACCTGATTAAGTCAGCTAGGATCAGCCCGACCTCTTTCATGCAGGTCCAGCTCGAAGTGCCAGAGCGCGGCGGACACCGGAGGGCGGAGGAACGGGCTGCCTCGCAGGGCATAGGGCCTGCCAAGGCACTGCAGGGAAGCAAATGCTTTTCAAGCACCTGCCGGCTAACGTTTCCCTGGATTCTCCAGATTGTGCCTGACACTGTTGGACCAGTAACCTCAGAACTCGGCACCGCTTGCACTGGGCAGTTGCCGTGAAGCTTCGCTGCCCAGGGGCATGCGAGCTCGACTGAATTGCTGGCGGATGTGCCAGCGATGCTAGACAACGGTCGTGGTACGACGAGGTCGGATGACAATCTGCGAGAGAATGTGGTCGGTCTGCAACCTCGCAATGATTTGTCACGTCCCACGCCACGCACTCAGGGCAGAATCAGACACTACTGTGACCCCAGGCATGTGACCCGATGGACCTGAAGATGGCGGCAAGTCCGCCGAAGACTCTGGCGACAGCTTGGACCCCCTGCGTGATGCCGTGGGGACGCCGTGGGCCATGATACCACCGTTACTGCAATGCCTCCTGTCCTCTGTGAGAACGGTCCCTCTCGGCCTCGCATGCTGAGCATAAGCATGCCCAAATGTGCCCAAGAATCGCCCCCGAGGATCCTCAAAAAGCGGGCTGAGGACGCGGCCAGATCAGCTTCCCGAGCATGGCAGCTGCCATTGGGAAAACGCACCGGGTCGCGCCGGCATACCTGGCAGCTCGCTCAGCTCACAGCCCAGCACAGCCACGGCTTGTGTTGGGCTCTACTGTAGGCCGCTAGGCAACAGTCTTTGCGCTCTTTCACTCTCAATTATGTTTCAAGTGACACCGAGACTGGGGATGAGCTCGACCAAACCAGTGCACTGCTCTCGAAATTGAACTAGTGCTTCATCCGAAAGTGCTAGCTTCTTGCAAGACCGCACACAAATTAAGCTTCATGCTGACTTACTTGGCGAATTCTCGACTGAAAGGCTAGCAAAGAGGGATGCCCATCTGTCATGTACGAGTACTTCTCATTAAATTAATTGTAAGGACCACCTCGCAGGCATGTCAAGCCCAGACCATGGCCGTGTGGCAGGCTTTGCGGACGAAACGAACCGGGTAGGTGTGCAATTTGTTGTTGTGGCTGGCAAGATGATGTGCATGTTGCTCGAGCTGAGATGTTGAGGCCGGCAATCATCGAGTGCTGAGGAGCCCCCAGAGCGCAAAAGCAGCATTCCATCTCGATCCCACCTGCAAGGCTGCAGCCTTGTCGAGAAGCTCCTGTAGGAGTCAAGAACTGCGATCGGCTCCCTGCAAGGCTGCAAGTTCCCCTTCGCACCCAGCTTCCTGGGCATCAACCTCTAGAACTGCATCCTCTGCTCGCCAGCTCGAGATGACAGTCTCTGCCTGCAGCGACGGAAGGGACCAGGCTCTCTGCAGAGAGACGATAGGGTCGCGAGACACCTCGTATCTAGCTGCAGCAATCTCTTCGCAGCATGCTCGGATGCAACGGTCTTCTTCGGAAAGAGCCTTGGTGCTCTGCGGGCTGATCTTTTGCAAGGAACATGGGATCAGATTGGAAATCATGGTGGCTAAGGTCACAGCAGCCTCCTCTTCTTCACCGGCAAGCCGCTCGTCATGGGCCATGCTGAGCTCGGCATTAAGCTTTGCAGCCAAGACCTGGAACTTCTCTCGGGCCGGCAGAGACGACGCCTCTGCGTGTCATGAGCCTCCTCGTGCAAAGCAAGGGATCGCAGCTGCTGCAACTTCTCCGAGGCCTGCAGATGGGGAGGTCGAGACAACTCGGCGACGTGACGTGTGGTCTGCAGTGCACCTCAGCGGAAGCCTCAGATTGTTGCACTGCACATCTGTGCATCTTCTCATCCTGCACACTCACTCGAGGAGCATTATATCGGCTCTGATCGCACGACATGTGTCTGGCTGCTTGACTAACCTGATGAGGTCATGGGCGTGCAGGGCAGTGCACATCAGCACACCAAACAGCTGAGACGAGGAAAGTCGGCCTGCTCAGCGGCTTCTTGGGCTTGCCGTGCACTTTGTTCCGCGTGCTGCGTTAGCTCACAAAGCTGCTGCAGGGCCTCGCTACGGGTGGATGGCAAGCTGCACAACCCGCAGCAGCTATCTCGAGGCTCAAGCGCCGGATGTGTTCTTCGCCAGCTCTTTGCATCGCTCGGCTGCTTCACTGATTTGTAGATCCAAGTGATGTCGCAACATGCTGGCGGCCTCTCACAAAGCTCCGACGTCTCGATACCTGTTTTTGCACCTTCCACCTTGCCTCCTCTTCTGTCACCTCGAAGGACAAGACCTCTTCTTCGATGTGAAGCCTCCGATTCATGATTCGGGGACAACGCTTAGCCTTGCTATCACCGCCAGGAAGCAAGAAACCGTCAAGCCAGCAGCCTGCCTTTCTGCCAGGAGTTCACTCTCAGAGCACTCTGTTGATCGGAGCCGGTGCATATCCTCCTGCAACGGCGGTCTCAGCACACAGGAGCCGTCTCGGGCATGTCCTGTGTGACGCTGACATGCATGCTCGGTGCCGGGTTGGGTTTTCTGAAGTATACATGTGGTGCACGATGGGCATGCAAGCAAACAGACTAGCTATACCATGTGGGCGGCGACAGGGGATCGCAGAAGGCTGGAAACCAACGACGATGTTTCTGCATAGTTATTGCTGCTACTGCTTGCAACTGATTGCATAAAAGAGCAACTGATAACACATGAATGTGCACAAATGCCGTTCCGACAAGCTGATCGTTCTACATACTACGTCATGCTTTGCTGACTCATGTTCGCGTGGTTTCAGCTTTTATGCTCACCAGCTTTGTCCGGTCCAGCATATACGGTAAACAACTACTTAGCCAGTTGTATGGCTACCAATCAGCATTGTGCAATCAAGATTTGTTGTAGATGGTCGCACATTAAGTAATCATGCTATATGTACATACATGTCGGTAGTATATGCTTACAAACTCATACACACGTGCAGACACACACACACACACGTCACACGTACATACCTACATACATACATACATACATACATACATACATACATACAGACAGACAGACAGACAGACAGACAGACAGACAGACATACATACACACATACATGACATACATACATGACGTAAATACATGACATACATACATACATACATACATACATACAGACAGACAGACAGACAGACAGACATACATACACGACATGGACCATTGCATGAAAGACGGCCTCGGTCTGTAATTTTTTGGATGGCTGCCCGTCTGGATGACCAAACAAAAACTCCAGTGCGTGTGTGCCTTTATGGGTGCGAGTCTGCGAGTGCGCGCGCGTGTGTGTGTGTGTGTGTATGTATGTATGTGTATGTGTGTGTGTGTGTGCGCGTGCAGCTGTTAAGGAGTGCGAGGGTGCACCTGCATCGACGGGTTCTGGAATCTTCTGGATTCCTGGGTTTTCTAGGCTCCCGGATCGAGGAAAAAGGCGAAACAGGAGCCCACCTGCAAGAGCTTGCAGCACGGAACATGCTGCACGGTCCTCCTCTTGACAAGTTCCCTTACCTTGCACGGCCTCAATGGCCTGAGACGCTGACTGTGGCAAAACGTAGCGGGCAGAGTGCTGCGACTAGACTACACACACTAATAGCCGGCCAGCCTTCTCAGATTCGTGCTGCACCTGCTTCTCCTCGGATCGAATGCTTCTCAGCCTGGTGCGGAGCTCCTCCCCAAGCTCCGTTGCCTTCAGGTGTCACATCATCCGTCACCCTCTTGCATACGACTCGAATCCCAACAACCAATCTCAGACGAATGCCAGCTCTTCTCCAACCGCAGCTGCAGCTGCAGCACTTTCGAGGGCCTCTTGAACCTGCAGCATTCGAGTTCAAAACGTGCAGACAATGGAGGTTCGCATCGAAGCAATGCCAAGCCCAGGCTCTTCCAGGCCTCGAGGTTCTGCTCTTCCCGCATTGAGCGGATGTTCGCCTCCTCGCTGTTCCAAGCATCGGCCTATCGCGCAAGAGACTTGCACAGTTGCACCCGTGTCGGAGCTCTGAAAGGCCAAGCTCCTGACCACCGCCGCCTCCGAACGCTGCACGTTGACTGCAGTGACTCAAAGGCTGCAATGCACATCCTAGGCCGCCCTAGCCTCGGCTTTCTCACGAATCGCGGATTGCCGTACCAGGCCTTGCAAGCAATTCGAGACGAATTGGGCACATCCGCGAAGGATTACGCCGTCGGCTTCCGCGTGCTTCTGCCTCGACGAGCGGATTCAATGAACTCCTCTGCCTGCGTCGTTGCGGAGGCGGAGGTCAGGAGCTTCTGGGAGCCAAGGCCTGCTGCTCTGACGCCGCGCACTGCTGCCTCGGCTGCCACAAACGGCCACAATCGTCCCTTTTTTCGAGTCCGACTCGCTGCCAAGTTCCGGGCAAAGCACCTTGTTTCAAGGCCTTCTAAGAAAGCTCTCGCAACACCCGCAAAAAGACCGCTGTTTTGCAAGGTGATCAACGTGTGCCTCCACCTCACCCTCGACCAGTGCGACTGCTTTATCAGCGCGTGCCTGCAGTGGTGCTCGCATAGCTCGCGGTTCGGTGGACCATCCGAAGTCACTTGGGACTTGGCTTTCACTGTTGCTGCCTGTACTTCCAACTGCCTCAGAGTAGCTGCGACATGACGAGAGCTGAGGAGGGTCTCCACTACTGGCTGCGGTCCACACTCAGCTCGTTCTGCAGCACTCTGTCGCAGGAATTGGCTTTCCATCAGACCCTGCGAAGCCTTCGGAATGTCAAGGGATGCTTGGCAGAGTCGCTTAGATGCCGAGTGAGCTGAGGTCAAGACAGCCTGTTGCACTGCGAGCTCCTCTGCGCCCCTAGCCTCTGATCTGGCCAGTGCTGCCACAGCCTATCAGATGCTCAAACGAGGCGTGTCACGGTTTCAGCCCTGTCCAAACCACCTCTCGTCTGTCGGCTGCCTCGTGCGCCTAGCAGGCTCTGTCAATCATGGTGCGTTCCAAGCACAGCGCACCATGGGCGACGGGCGAAGGCCTGACACGCCTCGACCATCAGCTGCCGGGAGACATGAAGGCGAGCCTGAGACAGTATTGCGGGTACTGCATCAGGCGGTCCCAGCTGAAACAGCATTTCCTGCTCTGCCCACGCCTCCAGTGCTTCCCCACGTAACCCGTGCAACCTCGGAAGTAGAGACTGCTGCAACCAGCCCGGTTTGGTATTGACCAATGTCTGGGCAAATACGATGAGGGAACGACAGAGAGAGGAGAAATACAGAGACAGCAGGAGCGACAAGACTTCTTAGCCTCGTACGCACACGTGCGTGTCAAACTTCTTTCCTTGTCTGCAGCCGCGAGTAGTTCCTGCAAAGCATCACAAGAGCGGGAGCGCAGCGATGATCTTTGTTGGTTACCAAGCCCTGCGACCTCTGCGGCTTTGGAGCGCAGCAACAGAGCTGCCTGACTGAGACATTGTTCGCGTGTTGTTCGCATGTGTTCGCATGACATCTGCCGAGGCTGACGTCACACTCCTCGAACTCCCTCGCAACTCTGCCTGAGTTTGTCGCATATTGGAGCTTGAGGCACAGAGACACAGGGTGAACTCGGAAAGGCTAAGCTTGAATCGCTCTGCATGAGCATGTTCGCTTCGCAACTCTGCCAAACACTTGTCCTAAGTTGCAAACAAGTCCAGCTCTCAGCGCTTCAACTCGCATCTGTTCCTTGGCCCTGCTGACTGCCTGCTGATGAAGCCCAGGCACGGAGGAGTCTTCAGCCTGAAAATCGAGCTATGTCACTTGTTGAGCTGCAGCAGCCTTAGCATTGTGGCTCGTCCCCGTGACGAGATCCTGGCATCCTGCATCTGTCTTCGAAGCATGGTTTCAGCTTCGAGGAGATCCTTGACCTGGACGAAGAAAGGAAGCTCTGAAGCCGGCCAGGGCTACCACCAAGCTGGGGAGACACCTCCTCACGGCGGTGCTTCTCAATCTTGGACAAATTCCGCAAGGCCTGGCAGATCCAGGACTGTCGTTGTACAGAATGACGAAGAGTGCATCGCCAGCACAAGGCCTCATCCTTCCAGTTTGCTGCTCTCGCAAGGGAAAACTTTGCCGCTGCCTGTTGCAGAAGCATAGCAGTCAAAGCAGCATCATATCTGGCAGCCGGATGAGCTGCAAGGATTCCCGCCCTTCAGTGCTTTTTCAGATTCAAGCGAAGGTCCGAGATCTTGTCGCGTCCGAGCACGTGGACACGCATGCAGCATCCATGCATCATCGGCGCAAGCCAAAGCCACACCAACGTGCTGAGCTGCGCTGAGCTGCTGGGGTGGGCCTCCCGCTAGCAAAACAGACATCAGTGTGTTGCCCCTCTGGAAGAGGTTCCGAAGCTTGTTTGAAACAGTTGCCTGCCCTCAGCTTCAGAATGAGACGGTCCAGGTGCTACGCCCCTGGCAGGTGGCAGGAACAAGCTGAAAATGCTGAAAGACCCTCGAGCCTTGCTGCTATGTGTTAAACACAACCGGGAAGTTGAAAACATGTGCGCTGTTCAGGGCTCATGTGCTAGGCCACTGATCTGCCTTCGAGACCTTGACGTTCTCGATCCCCTTCTTGGCCTCCACATGAGAAGCACAGTGAACATCGGTGAATGAATGCCCGTGATTGCACGTGCACACGGCCTTGAACTCTTCAACCGCAGCATCGGCATCAGCTTTCGTGACCTGGCCAGTCAGCTGATTGTGCCACGAAAACGCCCACAAGTCCCGCCTTCGGGCTGATGGACACAGCAGTGTTGTGCCACAGATAGAAGAGGCCGCCCAGGAACACCGCATCTTGAGGCACGAAGTAGATCAGCCTGGGAGTGTCGAAGACGGTCCACGTTTGCGGCTTGCCCCATGCTGACACGATGGCGAACAGCTACAGTTAGATTACAGTTAGATCTGGAATCCATGGAATGGTTGTGGTGGCTTCTGCAGGACAGACTGACGCACTGCACCACTTGTAAAGCCCAGCAGCGCCGCGGTGATGCACTGCAGGACCAGGCCTCGTTTTTTGCCCTACAAAACAATTGCACATCATCCCGATGATGCGACAATACGAGATGGTCTTACGGAGTATCAAAGAAGGCAGAGTGAATCAAGCGGCCGGAAGCTGGAAAAGCTGTAATATGCTAGAAAGCCGAGCCATGAACAGCTGTCCTGGTTTCCTCCACAATCGACGCATTCCATTAATGCGGGTTTTGACTCAATTCTAGCCGAACAGCAAGAACACAACGCTTTAAAGCTATACCATCAACAGGATGCTGCCATCAACTTATTACACTAGTTCTGCTTGATGCCTCGAGAAGGACATGATCAGGAAACTATTTCTCTGCTGCCGGCTTTCCTGAAACATGTGAGTGCTGCGAATGCCAAGCCAAGCTAAGCTAAGCCGCCATCTCCGCGGATGGACAGCGGACGCGGAGATGTGACCTGCGGATGCTGACTCTCATCGCAGGGCGCAAGGATCTGCAAAGCGCTGCGACCCGCCTGCGCAGCGAAGGTTCGTGCGTTGAACTTGGCGAAGGGCGTGGCAGCGGAGACTCCAATCCTCCTGGCAGCCTGAAGAAGATACTACGTTCCGCACCAAGACCTCTCAAGACGTCCCAAGCTGGCGCGGCCGGGGAGCGGCAAGTCGTCCGAGCAGCATCGCAGTGGAACACTCGAGGACACTGCAGGCTAAAGCTACCAAAGGCTTCAAAAAGGATGCTCGGACCACACGGGATGCGGCAGAAAAGGTTCTGGGGCAACACGCAGCAAAACCAGCTTAGGCTTTCAGCCAAGTGGAGGGTCCGCCGTGCCTTCATCTCAGAAAGTTGCGATGCCAAAGCATGTTCCGTGCCTGATCACAGCGAACCCTCTCTAGGGACAGGAAGCACCGAAGGTAGGCAATACCACTAAGGCAAGAGCAACATGCAGTCTCTATGCGAGCTTCGGCTGTCAGTCTGAGATGCTCCTCCCGCAGGACGACCTCACGCCAGGCAGGTCGGTACTTGCAAGCTTCAAAGCCTTGAGATGTATCTGTTGGCCTCTTTGAGGTCGATGGAAGCCCAGCCCGCCGGAGCCTTTGGCATGAGGCGAAGCCGACACTCGGGATTGCAATACGATCAACACTTGCTTGCGAGCTTGGGCCTCCCCATCCGGCCAGTCGGGATTCTTCGAGAGAGGAGAGGTCCTGTCCGAAACGTTGAGACCAGTTCGCTATCTCCGTCTGGATACCACAGTCACTCGCGACCATTTCTGCGGAAGGTGGAGTGGCAGGACCAACTGTGTGCACAGGAGGCCACAATCTCTACGACTGCATCCGCTTAAAACCCACGTCTTGAACGTGACGTAAACATGCAGATGCACCAACGGAAGATTCATTGCTCGGTCCCTACCCCAAGCAAAAACATGTGTCTATGACTGGCAATGGTCCGCAAGGAAAGCATGGTGCAGGTTCCGACAGCCGAGATCTGCATTGACTTCGGCGACGCGTGAAACCGATGAGTGCTGGCTCCTATACTCCGCTGCGGCTGCTGCACGTGCATCAAAGGCCGCCCAGATTCGGAGAAGAAAAAGCACTGGGACTCGTGCTCTGAAGTTCGGACCCCACTTCGGACGTCGAAAGTGACAGGCTCCGCAATGTTATCCGCAAGCTGAGCTCAAGAGTTTCGAGCCTGGCGAACTTCACTTGAGCTTCCGTGCCGTGTTTGGAAACACTGAGGACCCGGCACCACGCTGGCGCCTACAGCGCAGGCTGTGCAGGGTACATGCCTGGGGCCTCCATACGAAGCCACTGCAATTGCTGGAGCCTTCTTTACCGTCCAAATCAAGGACCAAGGCTTTGTCAAGCTGCCTCGCTGACCCCATGTGGCACACTGTTGCCGTGCGTTGAACAGGGGTGTAGGCGCCGGACCACTTGCCGCTGTCCACCAGATCCTGTCATGAACACAAGCCCAGAAGTGGGCATCAACTTCCGTCTGCAAGGCAATACATGCAGGTCCTTAAGACAGATGGGACTCTTCAGCTGCGCAAGGGACTTCTGATATGGGCCTAACAGCGGACAGGTGGCAAAACCATGGGCAGGCCGCGCACGCGTATTGAACGAGCCCCGGAGCTCTCGTCTAAGCTCCTGGCGCCGGATTCCAAGCGAGATCTCCAACTGCGCCTCAGAGGCGTCAAGGAGGATGAAACATCGACAGAGCAGCTCTCTGATCCCTTGGTGCCCACGGTGTCCAGATCCCGAATGGGGAAAGAGAAAGGTTGGTGCCACCGCCTTGGCACTCTGGAGCTTCACATAGTGAAAGAACATCAGGTGCTGCAGCATACTTTCATCTTCCTCCCCGAGTGGCAGGCGTTGTGAAAGACGGTCGAGCTTGTACCACGGACGCAACCTGTCACAGTTGGACAATCAACTTGAGCCCTCGTCGGCCTAAAGGAACAAAACAATCTGCTTCGGATCGAGCGAAGCTGACAGAGTCATTCGTGATCCACCTGCTCCTTGCTGAGTCCAGATATCTTCATGATTTCCTCAATCGACTTGCCCTGCGATCAAGACTTGAAAACAAAGACGCTTGAAATGTCTGCAAAGGCTTCTCTCGGCTCTGGCGGCTCCGTTTCTACATGCAGAGTCTGTCCTGGGAATTCTGCAGGTGTTCCACAAGTCTTTGGGCTGATGCAGTCAGCGCGGAGCCGTAAGTGGTCGCCTCCAAAGTTCACACCATCTCTCGGTTGATTTTGTAGCTTAGTGAAGCAGTGAAGCATCTCGCCACAACAGCGGAGGGCCTTGTATGTGGCACCTCTGCTCTTGTGGGTGTTCCCTTCGAGCTTGAAGGTGATGGTAGCTCCTTGGGCCTCTGGCAAGTCTTCACAGCCCAGTAATTCCCGCGGCTTGCTGCAAAACTGCGCCTGCTTCTGCTGCAAACCACGCAAGCTGCGCAGATCGATGAAAACAAAAGCTTCCGCAGCTGCCTTTGCTTCAGCTGTGGAGTACAGGTAGCAATAGAAGCTCGACCACACATCCGACATATCCTAAGGCTCGTTCCTTTCCCATGGGCTTTGGAACGTCTTGTCGATGCGTCCTTCGAAGGCTTTAGCAGGCATGGTCCAGGTTCTGTATGCCAGCCACCGTGGCTCTTTCCCCCGCACAGCCTGAGATCGTAGAATCGAGCTTGGATGTAAACCTGGGCACTGGTATGCTGTGCGATGGCTCTGTGACTGTGATGCTTTGCGTACTTCGAAAGTCGAAATGCACTCGCGCCTGGCCTCCCCGTGCGGATGCGAGTGATCCTGGGAGGTATCCTGGGAAGCGGTGCCTGGCTCCGGCTGAGCATCTCTCACTTTGCGTCCAGAGAGAGGCCACCTCAGGCAGGCAGACAGGCGGGCCACACACATCGCCACGTCGCCACGCTATGCAACAAACAGTTTCCGGGCGCTCAGGCCGAGGCCACTGGCTCGGAGAATTCAGCAGGTCCTCGACTTTGAGACCAGCGACGTGGCCAAGATGGTCGTCCGTGCCTCGCTTCTAAGTTCCCAAGTCGGGGTCGCGATGCAACAAGCTCAAGCACTGCTCGACTCTTCGGGCAACAGTCCTGGCCCGATGTCTGCATCATAGACATCGACCTTCACGAACTGGCTTGGCGTGTACACGAAGAAGTCTTCACAGCCTCGGAATTGAGACTCTTTCGACCGAGACTCCAAGCGCAATCTGCCGGAGCCATCTTGCATGAACATGCTGTCAAACGCAAGAGAACCGCAATCAGTGCGGACAACGGGCCTGCGTCGCCCCACCTGGGGTTCCGTGTCCGTGACTTCTTGGGAGTGTGCCAGAGACGCGAGCCCAAATGCACCGACACCTCGAGCACCCATACACCATGCAGGGAACATGTCAATTGGCCTATCAATGTGCCGAAACCAAGACCAATCACTTATCATGTTCCAGGCAAGAAGCATAGGGATCCGAGGTGCCCTTGAAGCCGAAATAGTTCCAGTCGGAACCTCTCAAGTTTCGGGCCTCTCTCACACAAAGGCGGACGATGCACTCGGGGTGAGGGAATTGGAGCACTTCGAGGTCCACATCGGCAGAGGAGTCCATCCAGTGGACGAATAGCAGGTTTGGGACCACCAGTAGCTCAGATATCTGGTCTGCCACAACCTGGCGCATCACCCGCGAAAGCACATCAAGCTGCAAGGCCCCCAAAAGGCCCCGGAAGTTCCAGTTCAAATTCGGCGGAGACATCATAGTGATCTGCAGCCCTCCCATGCAGGGGAAGTGGTGCAGCAAAGGCCGCAGCTGCAATCGAACCGTCCCATCGATTCTGATCTTTTCCAGGCCGATTTCAATCCCCTGGACTTCGAGCACTACCTCGGCATCGCACTTCCAAACAAGCTTCACGTCGAGCTCCAATCCGTCGTACTGATTCTGCTTCCCATGGGCGACACCCACCGGGCCTAGCAAGGGATGCTGATTTCCGAAGTCTAGCTTCTTGAAGTAGATCCCACTCAGAACTGCAGGCACAGCAGCCTGCAGTTTGGGCTGAAGCTCCTCCTTGATAATTGCAGTACAAGCCTTGCTCAGCTTTGGCCAAAGCTTCTGGACCATGAAGTTCAACCAGCCTAGCTCCACTCCTTGTGGCCCACGCTTGGCTTTGGTCCGCTCGAGGATAAAGCGCCGAGACTCGTTCAACAAAGCCGACTCAACATTGTCTTCCTTTCTTGAGCTCCTCCGCATCGGTGCTGCATCATTTCTGCTGCAGCCACACTGGCCCATGGCTAAATTGCCATGGCTGCCCTTTCTTCCATGGGACACATACACATGGCCCGCAACAGCATCGTGGCAAGCGAAAGGGACCAGCACGCAAAAGGATGATGCCAGGATGTTTCATGCGGCTACGTTGTATGGTAGACGTCGGTTTTGCGCCAGGCATTCTCCGATACTTAGGGCAGTCGCCGTGGTAAGTGATGGTATGAGTAGATTGGCTGTCGTGGCCTGCTTATGGCCTGTCAAGAACTTACGTTCCTCATGCACGAAGCTAAGCCAAAGGCTGTGGAGTCATCAAACCTGTTTGGATGCCATGCCAGCCAGGTCCACACGAGCACTTTGCAAACTGTACAGTGACATACAGAGACGGCAAAAGGAGGTCAAACCGTCCGCCAGTCCTGTTGGCTGCCATTGCCGGACAATCTTTCAGACTCATTACTTGTGCAGGTCGTGTATTCCGCCGATGCTTTGGCGTTGGGTGTTTTCTTGTGGCCTGAAGCAAGCTGCACTCGGAGAGTGACCCTGCACGCATTGGGTATATAGATATGGCAAGGCTGCAGTCTGTCGGCAAGGCAGCCATTTCTGCTTCGAGCCATCCCGATATCACCAAGCCATCAAGCAGCGTACTTAGCTTTAACTGCAGTGCGTGACAGAGGCCGGAACGCGTTGTGTCATATTAATCTTCGTTCTGCGAGGAAAACTATCGAGTGAAACGTGCAGAACCCAGTTACTAGTCACTGGTCCGTCGAGAGAGGTCTTTGCAACTCTCAGATCCGCATGCTCCATCCAAGGAGATCGTCAGCACGCAGCCCCAGCAGAAAATCCGCGGTCCCACCTGACTGCCGCACTCGTGAGGACTTTCGGGTGTCGAGGTAGCACGGGGCACGCGAGGCGGAGCTGCTCGAGGAAGACGAATGTCAGGGTGCAGTACCTGCGAGGCCAAAGGCAGCACGAAAAAAAGGACACAGTTCTGGCGAGATGTGCCGAAAGCATCTTGACCCAGCGGCACGGTCCAAAGCGCACGTAGTTTGCTGCGGCTCCTTTGTAAAGGCCGAACCTGGCTCAGAAAAGGGGTGCTGGGATGTGTGGGCCCGACAGGCTCGGAAAACCCAGAACAGACACACTAACACAACGAAGATGACCGGACCAGACATTTTGTGCGATCAATCGACTTTTTCAACCAAGCCTGCTTACTTGTCTGGCACATACTGATCCGAACGCTGGAAACCATTGTCGAGCATGGACTTTACCATGGCTTCTACCTGTTCCTGCGCTGTTTTGAAGCGTGTTCCAAGAAGCCGCTCTGCTGGCGAGACATCATAGAGGACAGGCAGGGGCGGCGCTGGCCCCATCACTGCCGGTCCTAGTTCCGATGACAACTCTGACGGCACATTCGCTTGCAAAGCTCCTGGGAGTGCTTGCCGAACATACTCGGCCACAGCTGTGAAATGAGGGGAACCACCAATCAACAGGAATCGCTGTCCACCGAGATCATTACGTGCTGCCTCGATGTGAGCTTTCGCCACGTCACGGACATCAACAACTGTCTTGCAAGCGTTCTCGATCACTTTGAGACTTCCGTCCATATAGCCGACCAAGCTACTTGCAGAGGTGTTCATGTGAGGCTGGCCGGGTAGCATAGGGCCCCAGATTAGCGTCGGCGTCAGCACTGTAAGATCAAAGGGGCATCCAGATTCTTTGCTCATGCTCCAAGCCAACTGTTCGGCCAATAACTTCGACAGGCAGTACCAGTTTTCCTTTTCACGCAGTACGTCCTCGGGTGAGAAATCCTCAGAGGTGTACACATGGTCTGCAGGCAGTTTTCCATAGTTAGTATACACGCTCGCCGTGGAAGAGGTGAGCGCGACCTTTTTCACCCCCAGTCTGCGACAAGAGTTCAACACGTTTCGTGTTCCTTCCACCGCTGGTGTGACAAGCTTTTCTTCAGATCCACCCTTGAAGTAGAACGGAGATGCAGTGTGCAAAACATAGCTGCAGCCACGAATGGCATCATCGAAGGCCCCTGGAGTGAGCAGGTCGACTCCATCCAGAATCGTGAGACGCTCAGATCCGGGAAGACGCTTCAGGTATGCAGCTTTCTCTGCACTGCGAGTCGTCGTTCTTACTGTGTAACCCTCCTCCAGCAACAGCTTCACGCACCAAGACCCCAGAAATCCGGATCCTCCTGTAACACACCAAGGAGGATCAGACGCAGACATCACGTGATGTGTCAAGGCGGACAGTCTGTTCGAGGCGGCACTCATTAGTTTCGAGCCGAACCAAGACTGCTGGCAGCAGTAAACGACTGGTGACATCCGTGACACGTTGTGGCACATCCTGCGCCTGCTAAGCTCCGGACACACCTTCTGCCTCCAGCATCTGCTTCAAACAATCCACTGGTCCAGAGTAAAGAAGTCCGCTGCCACACTCTTTGTGGGGCTGATTCATCAACCTGGTTCAGCTTACAACTCCGTCGCCCCGGCACTTCCGTCAGATGAACCAAGCATGACGTCCTGCCTCACTGCTACAATGTCAAAAGGCTGCATCGCCATAGTAACAGCAATGCCAGACCTGGTGACGATTATCATGCAGACGTGGCGTAAGTCTAAATTCTGGCTTTTGGGCGCGGAAGCCCTTTGTCGTGTTCCCTGCCTGCACCTGACATGTTCGAGTTTTTGTCATTCCCAGGCAACCATCACCCTCGCAAGCTTTCCGAGAAGAGTTGTGCTTGAGGCAACGACCATTAGAAACCCATTAGACAGAGGAAGCACAGCTGGGAAGTTGGGAATACCGCAAGCGTGGCTCGAGACTTTCAGATTGCAACCCTCGCAGCTCCGGGTGTAGAGCAACTGCTGCTCTTCTGTCGACAGAGTCAACATCCAGAACAAACAGTGACGCTGAGCGGAGCCGACATCTGAGTTCCTACGTCACGGCTCGGTCTTTGCTTGGTGCCCCGAGGCCCCTGGCAAGAGGCTGGCAACGAAGTGAATGGCGACCCCATCCTTCACCTGCCAAGGAAACGATTCGATGGAAACGCATCACCACATGCAAAAAGAACCTCCTCGCACCTGCACATATCTGAGAATACAATCCTTGCTGATGTCGTATGTGGACAGCTGCACCTGCCAACTTCATAACTGGCCACATTATGCAGCGAAAGCAACTCTAAAAGGTTCGGCACCGATGTGGCGGCAGCAACACGGGGCCTCCAAAGCCAAAGCGGAAATTTGGTGACGGTGCTTGATCACTGCGAGAAAGAATCCCTGTGACTCCCCGCCCTCGAGATCCGGGCACAAATGCCGTAAGGCCACGGTAGTAGCCCCGGAAGCCCTAGGGCAAGCCCGAGCAAGAAGAAACTGCCTGCAAAAGCTGCCATAACCTGGAGCTGGCCGATTTCGCAGAAGGCTTTCCTGAACACAACGAAGGCAATGTGGATCATTTGGCTTCAGATGTTCGATGAAACTGGCAGTCTTGTGGGTCCTGAGCGACAGATGGGAATGCTGATGAAGCACATCCTCGCTTCCTGCTGCTTGAAATCTTGACTTGAGCAGGAAGAAGGGGTTCGACACTATGGCCGCCAGTGAGCCAGATGCTGCACCCAGAAGCATCGAGGAGAGGCTGTCTGTCGCCGAGGCTCCAGGCTTCACGCCAAAAAGCTGTTTTAGGGAGCCGTAAGCACCGAAACGGCAGCCGACGTTGCTGAATTGCAACAAATACGCCGCGCTGAGGCCACGCTGCAAGCCACGGAGGCCTTCCTTTCGCGAGATACGGAGCAGTGCTTGGCCGATCCCTGTGTAGGCCTTGCCACCTGCAGCGGCAAGTTCGCCTTGCAGCTGCAAGCGTGTTTTCACCACGTCAATCGGGTTGGTCAAGGTGATGGCACCGCAAGCCGCCAACCCAGCCAGGACAAATTCGGCCCCTTGGCTGCGACTCCCAGCCATGTCCAAAGTTGTGTGTTGCTATCTGTCTGCCACAATCTGGCATGCATGGGCTAGGATAGGATGTGGAACAAGTCATGAGGCTTCACCGAAACGTTGACAAATCTTGCTTCCAAGGGATGCATCATCCGATCGCTTGCAGTTCAACGATGCATGGCTTTCTGGATTTCAAAAGCTGGGCTCCCGAGCGATGACTTCGCTGTTCAGCAATCACATGGAAGTCGTTTCGATGATGTATCAATCGTTCAATTGTGTTCAATTGCCGTCCTGTTTCTTTTTTCAACCAGCATTGCTGCGCATACTGCTAGTTGCAGTGGCAACCCACGAACGGCATCCACTCTCCGGCGAGTGTAATTCCTTGCTGCGAAAGTCCAAAAATTGGCAGGCAAGGCGCTCTTGAAAGCAGGGCTTCCTGCAACAAACATTTCGAAAATCTGTCATTGACACTGATGTAGCCGACGACACTGGGTCTTTTGTCGCTCTGGAACAACATTGAACAAGGCACACATGCCGTGAATCATGGCATTTCCAGATGCATGTATAACAAACATGCGATGCACACTTCAGTATCTTACCATTGCTGTGTTTCTGCATTGGCTTTTCTGGAACACGCCAGCACGAGCCGAATGCATGCACAAAACCATCGGTGAGGCAAGGCAGTCGCAGACACGAGCAAGTTTAACAATGGGTCGAAACAAGAAATCTTCATCGTGGGAACAACATTTTATTCATGTACCCATTGAAATCGTCATCGCGGGAACAACATTTTATTCGTGTACCCATTGCTCGTTACGCAAGCTCCAGTAGTGCATGTTGTGTATGCCCTTAGATTGCAATGTCGGGCTGCACGAACAGTCCGGTTCTTTGAACAAGACTGTGACTATGTGAGTTACCATGACACTACCACAAAAGCAAAGCGGTCTTCAAGGCTTTAAAGCTGCAGAAGTCGGTTAGAAAGGCACTGCGATGGCGAGCATATGCCCACCTGTCCCAATTTCGGCCTGTTGCAATTTCGGTCGGGTAGGCGGGTGTTTTGAAGCTGCTGCTTCTGTCGACAGCCTTGAGATGCGA